ACCAGCTTCCTGGGAGTTTGCGCTTTTTCCAAATATTTGAGGGATACGTCTTTGATTGTGATGGGAATGGCATCATTTTCCATTGGGATGTTGATCATGGCCTTCACAAAGTGGATATTCCTTTACTTTGTCGGTGAGTTATTTCATTGACTGCATTTCTGACCTTTTCTGGACTGAACTGGTTTAGTGTCCAAATGTTCTTATGCAATGTGTACGGTGGGATGGGAGGAGATGTATTTGTAATTTTGCCGTTAACTACACAGAGAAAATAAAATTATGTCAGCTCCAAAAGAACCATAGTGTTACGATCCATCAGGTCTGGGCCACTCAGTAATCTGATTGCAATCTCCTGCTCACTTTTCACCTAATATTTCCATTCTCCAAACAACTAATTTCCACAGACAGTAGTAAATGGATGAGACTTCAAAGTAGCTTTTGGCACAAAATTCTAAATTATTCAACCTCTACAGAGTTGCCAATTTAAAAAAAAAACTAGCCTTTTGGAATTTTCTAATATTTAAACCATTTCATTGCCATCTAACCAGCCAGCAAAAGCAACCTGGAACTCCCTATCAGAACTCTTCATAATGTTGACAATCTATATTACATCATCCTTTAACATTCTCAGTGCTATTGAGAAACGTCTCCATTTCTTTTGCACCTCCCCAGAACTGTAACACTTGGCCTCTGGCAGTATTATATGAAAATCTATGTGTAATTGTCTCTTATATTCCTCTAACTGGGGGTAAAGTCCAGTCTAATTTCTGCTTCATTTCTTTGGCCTTGTATTTTAACTGTAGTTACAAATTTCAGGATTCCACTTGTCTTTTTGATTACATTATATACATGCGTTGCCACATATTTGCAAAACAAAACCTTCTACATCATTTAAATGTTGTTAAATGTTTATTTCCAGCTGCTGTTCTTGCTTCAAAAAATGTTACCTTTAATAGATGCTGTGATTATCTGCTACTTACCTGCTCATATGTTGTAAAGCCAGTATATAAACACTGATCAATATCTGATAGAGATAGTAGGAACTACAGATGCTGGAGAATCTGAGATAACAAGGTGTAGAGCTGGATGAACACAGCAGGCCAAGCAGCATCAGAGGAGCAGGAAGACTGACGTTTCGGGCCGAGACCCGAAGAAGGGTCTAGGCCTGAAACGTCGGCCTTCCCGATCAATGTCTGATACTGTCTTGTCAATGAACTGCTGAAAATATGGAAACATTCAAATAGAGTTTGAAAACAATATCTGATGGGAGGCACTGCCATTTTCAAGGGTCAGATGCTTCCACAAACAATATGCGCCAAACCCTCTCTCAATGCAACCAAGTGTCAAGAACTAGATATCACCATGGGCACTCTGAACCTTGGATCCTGAACACCCCTTCCTCAATGTAAATGGCTCTTGGCTGTGCCAACCAAGTCTTTCTCTAAAGGCATGTTGCCTCAGCCCATGGTTGCTAAAATGTAGCAGAGACCCTAACTGCTGATCCGCTGACTCCGTTATATACCTGACAAGGACCTATTGATGTCCTGTAGCACCATACACTTGGCAAAACACTTTATTGACTCTTAAAATACAAATCATATATAATTTTAATTCCCCAACTACCCCTTTATTGTTGCTTCTTTGGTGCACAGTATTTAGTACTACTCATAACTTCTCAGTTATGAAAGCAGTCCATGTAACTAAACCTGGAGAATATTCAGGCTTGGACTGCTAAGTAATCAATAATACTGTGATACACAACTGCCAGGCGATGACCATCTCCAATGAGAAAGAAACTAACTAAAACTTCTTGACATTCAATGGCATTGCCATCATTAAGTATTCTACTATCAATTATCATGGGGGTTACCATTGACCAGAAACTCAACTGTCAGTTTTGGGTCCTGTACCTAAGCAAAAATATGTTAGAGTTGGAGGGGTCCAGAGGAAGTTTACAAGAATGATCCCAGGGATAAAGGGTTTGTCATATGAGGAGTGGTTGAGGACTCCTGGTTCAACTTGATGGAGTTTAGAAGGATGAGGGGGAGAATTTCATTGAAACTTACAGAATGCTGAGAGGTCTGGATAGTGTCAACATGGGGAAAATATTCCCACTCGTAGGAGAGACTAGAACAAGAGGGCACAGCCTCAGAGTGAAGGGACATCCATTAGAACTGAGATGAGGATGAAGCATGGTTAACCTGTGGAACTCATTGCTGCTGAAGGCTGTGGAGGCCAAGTCTTGAGCGTACAGTGGGTTCTGACATAACACATTAGTTCCATTCTCATGTGAGCTCACATTACCAGAAAATCATGCAATAACCACCACATTCAAAGTGATGGGGATGGAATCGCGTTATAGCCGAAGGGAAAGTTTGCATTCTACAAATAGCATGCTATAATTCTTCAATCACATTAAACCAATTCATGATGAAAAACACACGTTATATCAGAACTGACTGTATTTAAGACAGAGGTCTTGATTAGTAACGGAGTCAAGAGTTATGGGGTGAAGGGCAGGAGAATGGGGTTGAGAAACATATTAGCCACAATTGAATGGTGGAGCAGACTTGATAGGTCGAATGGCCTAATTATGTTCCCTTATCTTATGATCTTATTTATCTTATGGATGAGCCATATAAATAGTGTGGTAACTAGGCTGTTAATTCTACAGCAAATTACTCACCCCTCTCTTTCCCCAAAAACTGTCCATCATCTACGAGGCATAAAACAGGAGTGTGAAGGAATACTCTCTACTTGCTTGAATGAGAACTGTTCCAACGAAACTCAAGACGCTTAACACCAGCCAGGACAAAGCAGTCCACTTGACTGGTACCATATCCACCACCCCCAAAATTCATTTTCTGTGCCACCAGTGCATACTATTGAACTGTAGCAATCCACTAAGGTTCCTTCCACAGCACCTTCCAAACTTGCAACCTCTTCCATCCAGAAAGATACTAGCAGCAGATACATAAAAACACAACCAGCTGCATTTCCTTTCCAAAACTCATGCCATTTAGACTTGGAAAGAAGTCACTATTTAGATACACTCAATGACTTGGCCTCTATAGCCTTCTGCAGCAAGAAGTTCCACAGGGTTAAGTACCCTCTGGTTGAAGAAATTCTTCCTCATCTCATTTCTAATGGACGTCCCTTCACTCAGGCTGTGTCCTTAAGTCCTAGTCTTTCCTACTAGTGGACTTCTATTATAATTGGGGGACTCCCTTTCTAGTCAGTATCTTCACCATATGGACTGCAGTGGATCAAGAAGGTGCCTCACTGCCTCCTTGTCAAGGACAATTGGGATGGTCAACAAATGCTGGCCTTGTCAACAGTGCGCAGATTCGCATGAATGAATAAATAAAACACATCAACAATATCCATTCGGACACTGAACAACAGGACTTCATAGGTGGAAGCACGTTAAATAAGAGCAGTCTCGCTGACAGGGAAGTTTCAGTTGGATGCTCTTTGAAGGAGTTGAGATTACCACAAGGATCAGATTATCAAAATTGCAAGGGGTTCGAGTGATCCAACTCGATCCTGCTGAGGTGCTGAGCAGGCTGTGGAAAATAAGCTGAGCTGCGTTAATCCCTATCAAAGAAGCAGTGCTGGGAATGTCCATTGGTGCAATCAAGCGGGGAGTTGAGGAAGGGTAATACCTGAAACGTTGACTGCTCCTTTCCTCCAGATGCTGCCTGGCTTGCTGTCTTCTTCCAGCCTCCTGTTTGTCTATCTTGGATTCCAGCATCTGCAGTTTTTTTGTCTCTAACTTTCCTTTATCACTGTTGCTCAGCATTTTGACAGTGTCATGACCTGGGCATAAGCAATAGCCATCCGGATAGGCACTGAAGGAAGGGTGGTGTCATGGAAACAGGCAAGAGAGGGGAAGCAAATAGTAAAACTTTTTAAAAGCAGCGCTTTTACCATCTGGACACATCTGAGCTTCATCATGGGGCAGGCTGAGTCTCAGGGGGGAAATTTGCAGTAGACGACTGAGGGTGTGTTGACACACTGCTAAATCGCTGCCTTTTTACTAAAGTACAGCGATTAGGTGAAGTAATATCTCAGTGTAAACATTTCTGGGTGTGTTTGGACTGTGTGGACAGATGCATATTTCTCTGGCACCGCCTCATGTACCCCGTTCCGTTTCCTTTGCTTGGACAATTGCAAATTCAAAAAGAGCTCAGCTGATCCGGCAAGAAAAAAAGATCCGACCAGCTTTTGTGAGTGAGTCAGGAATGGGGAAGTGCCGTTCTTCCGTGTTCAAGTTGGACACAAGGCAACTCTTTCGGATCGTTCTGTGAGCTAGGGGCCGTTCTGGGTCACTCCTGGCCGCTGGCTTTCTATCAAATGAAACAGGCGTCAAGTTGCAATCGAAGAGAATGGGGATGTGTCGTAAACTGTTCTCCTCCGTCGAAATCCTTGTAGGTTTGCACCAGATTGCTGGTGCCTTCTACGACACTGCGCTGTTGATGCTGGTCCACGAACGCTCCAGATCCAACTCCACAACAACTGGTAGCCAAGACCAGCAGCAAGGCGCAATCTCTCAGTTCTACATGATCTACATCCCCCTGTTGAAGATTTCCTCTCTCCCCATTGCCTACCTCCTGGCTAGTAAAGGTGACAGGAAGGACAGGAAGATCACCATTTGGGTGCCCCTGGTGGGGTACCTGGTGTCCAGGTCTCTGCTGCTCTTTGTGATCCTTTTTGATCTGCCCTTGCAGGTGATGTTTGTCACTGCTGTCCTGAATGGTCTGAGCGGGGATTCGACTGCTTTCCGGGCTGGGGTCATGGCAATGGCCTCAGACACCTCCTCACAGGAGAAGAGATCCATCAGACTTAGCAGAGTTGAGTTGACCTATGGAGTAGCAGGGATGATTGGCAGCATCGCATCCGGCCACCTCTTTATTTATTTCAAAATCTCGCATGCCCAGGGTGCTGGGCTGACGGCCTGCAGTTGTGTTTTTTATGCTCTAAGCTTAGTTTATAGCATCTTTGGGCTAAAACCCGCACAGATTGGAGCTGGTGGCTACCGCAACCTGTTAGATCAAGGAGAGCAGGAAAATAATGTTCGAGTTCCACAAAACACAGCTTGGAATCAATGTCAAGACGAAAGCTCAATGTTATTTCCTAATCAGAACAATGCAAGGATTCAGGGTATTCTTGGAGGTAATATGTCCATGGATAAGATCACACTCTCACTGCTGTTCACAGCTGGAGTTTTGTATGGTTTGGGTGTGACTGGTGGAGTGGATGTGCTGCCCATATTTGTACTAAAGGACCCTCTGAATTGGAATGCTGTCTGGGTCGGTTATGGCAATGCAATGGGGTATGCTAATCTTCCTCACCAGCTTCCTGGGAGTTTGCGCTTTTTCCAAATATTTGAGGGATACTTCTTTGATTGTGATGGGAATGGCGTCATTTTCCATTGGGATGTTGATCATGGCCTTCACAAAGTGGACGTTTCTTTATTATATTGGTGAGTTATTTCATTGGCTGTGTTTCTCGGTTTTTCTGGACTGAACTGGTTTAGGGTACAAATGATATCATGCACTGTGTCATGTAGGGTGAGGTAAGGAGTCATGTCTGTAATTTGTAGTTACGGAGAGAAAAATGTATCAGTTCCAAAATTAACACTCGGCTTTTGCTTAATCTATTGTAGTCTAATTACACTATCCTGTTCTCTTCCTACATTTTTCACAATATTTATACTTCAAGCAATTAGTTTCTAGACGGTATTTAATGCCACAGTCTCGAATATGGCTTTTGGCACAAAAACATCTTCTACCTCTCAATATCAAACTAAAGATTTTGTTTACTTTTTAGTTCACCTTGTCTTCTTGAATTGCCAATTTTCTGTGAAGCAAATTCCTCTACACCTTGCTGTTTAGTGTATTTTTTTCATATTTTATCCATCATATCTGCCATCTACCTCTCCATTAGGGAGGTGATGGCATAGTGGTAATGTTATTGGCCTTGTAATCCAGAGGTTTGGGCAATGTTTTGGTGGCATGGTGTCTAATCCCACCATAACAGGTAATAAAGTTTGTACTCAATTACATCTGGAATTAAAAGCTAATCTAATACCAACCATGTAAGCTTTGTCAACTGTTATAAAAGCCCATTTGGTTCAATAATACTCTTTAGGGAAGGAAATCTGACATCCTTACCGTTTGGCCTACATGTGACTACAACCCACAGCAATGTGTTGACTCTGAAATGGTTGAGCAAGCTATTCAGTTTAAGGGCAGTTAGAGATGGGCAACAAATGCGATCCATGTCAGCAATGCCCTCATCCCATTCAAGAATAAAAAAAATCACTGAGGTGCTGTATCAATGCATGACTTTGATATCATGCATCATCCTCATGCTGTTGTCAAGGTGAAAGCAGGAATGTAACAGTATGGAAACAATATATCAAGTGGAGTTATTTGATACAGAGGTAAAATCACTTAATTGGTGATATGGAGTGTCAACACCAGAAGCCTAGTCTGAAATGAACACCCATAATCACACTAGAACTTGCTGAAGAGATTCACTAGATCCTCCTGAACCCGCTATTGTTTATCTTGCAGCTCGAGTTGTGATGATGTTTGCCCTTATTCCACTGCCTACAATACGATCTGTGATTTCCAAGCAGATGAAAGACAACTCATACGGTTAGTATCGTAGTAATCTTTGCCAGGTTGGAAAATAGCCACTTGTGCCATCGATTTTTTACTACCATTAATGGGAATGAAAAGTAAACATTTTTAACAACTTAATTTCTTGATGCAATGCTGCTTTTCTTCATTAAACAGGTCCTCACCTATGCAGTATTCTGGGTCTGTATTTGGGAAGATGTTCTTTTCTCACCTTTTTACCAGTGCTACTGCAAAGGCTCTAGCCACCTGTAACTTGTTCTTCCCCAGATATGGTGACAAGTGCATTTGCAGCCATATACGTGCACCCATTTCTTGCCCACTGTTCTAGGGACTTATCTGGCCGGGAAGCACCCAAAATTGTAACTGCACACTGGATTAAAAACAGAGTCTGGGCAACATTTGGCCTAATCTACCTGGCCAAAACCTGATTGGAGTGGGTCAAAGAAAAGAGAGTAAAATCAAGTAGAGTGGACAATCTGCCCCCATCCATTTCCGACCAGGTTAATATTTTCCCTGGTTAACCTCTGGAGATTTGCATTAACTCTGTAATACCTTTGTATTACCATCTTCCCACAGAGGCCCATGTATATTGGCTATTATGTACGCATAGCTACCATTGAAAAGAAAAATAGTGGATGAAGTATAACACTTGAATCCAGAAACTCAACATTTGAGTCTTGTACTTGTTTTGGAGGTGGGGAATTCAGCAGACATTGACAAAATTGTTTCCTGGATTGAGAGAGATATCCTCTCCATTTTGATTTAGTCCCTTCCCACTCTCCCTACCCCTCATTCCCACATCACCTTTTTTTAAAACAGTGCCCATGACAAGCTTTGCAATGTAAACTTTTCATTAGCTGCAAGGGTGATTAGTGGTAGTGGTTAATAATTAAAAAACAAACAAGTCACCATGATGTGGTGGTGGAAAAGTTGATTGGTTGTGCGAGATAGCACATCTGGATAGAACATAAATAAATAAAGTCTATGAAAGTTACTTAAATCATCTGCATCTTTAGGAAAATAAGAGGTGGTCTTATTAAAGCATTCTGTGGGGCTTGCTGCGTTGGCGTATGGAGAATTTCCCATTGCTACAGAAGTCAGAACTAACAGCAATTCTCAAATAGGAGGTTGATCATTTGAGATTCAGATGATGAGAATTCTTTTTTAGACCAAGACAACATAAATATTTATGTTAAGTATTTGAAATTCTCTACTCTAGAGAACTGTTGATGCTCAGTTATAGAATATATTTGAGAGAGAGAGAGAATGATGTCTTTTGCATATGAACAGAATTAAGGGACAATCAAAAATTGTGGAGGAACGCAGTTGCTCAATGGTTTAACACTGCTTCCTCACAGCACCAAGGACCCAAGTTTGATCTGCCGTTGGGTGACTGTGTGTAGAGTTTGCACGTTCTCCGTGTGTGTGTGGTTTCCTCCCGCACTCCAAAGACGTGCAGATTAGGTAGGTTAGCTATACTAAATTGCCCTGTAGTGTCCAGGATCAGCTAGGTGGGTTAGCTATGGGAAATGTGGGGTTACAGAAAGGGGGTGGGTCTGGGTGGGATGCTCGTTGGAGGGTTGGTGTGGACTCAAAAGGGCTGAATGGCCTGCTTCCACACCGTAGGGGATTCTATGATAAGAGATAAATCTCATTGAATGGCAGAACAAGGTTTGAGGGAGTGTGTAACCTATATCTTATGTTCTTCACTCTTATTTGAAGGAAAGCTGTTTGCCATACTTGAGATTTTACTCAGCGTGACGGGAGTCATTGCTTCAATCATATTCCTTACCATTTACAAGTCAACAAAAGACTGGTACCCTTCCATCTCTTTTGGTCTGTCTTCTGTCATCAGTTGCCTGGGAATCATTCCCATGATGTGAGTAAAGTGGAATCATTAATATAATTGAAGTTCTACAGCTACAGTTACAGTTAAAGTGAGGAATGATGTTTTATCATGATGACATTTCCAAACCATTGGGTTTTGCAAAATGAACGAGGAAAGCATATAGGGGAAGAGGTGGTGGGCAATCCTAAACACATGTAGATGGAGGCCACATGATTAAGGAAATTGGAAAGAGGAAGATCAACTTTTTTTTAAAAAACTTAGTAAGCGGTGATCTAGAAAGCAACACTTGAAGGACTGATAGGAGCAGGCTCAAAAAGTAACTTATTGTCATTTGAAGAACAGTAGCAAAGGAAATAAATTAGAAGGCTTTGCAGAAAGATCAGGGAGAACGGAAACTAAATCAGAAAAGAACCAGAAAACTGATAGTGCAGGAGTAAGCCATGTGGCCCACTGTCTTTCAGTAATAGATTCACACTTCATGGAACTGAATTTTAAGAAGCACAGACCACATGAACAATTTATTGAACTCACATTTTCACAGATGCTGCATTATGGGGGCTTACTGACTCACTGGGGGACTGGTGGATTTCAGAGGATGAAGTGCAGAAGGGCATGCCTAGAGCAGGACCAAACAAGGTGTCAGGCTAGCAAAGCCAGGCAATACACGCTTATTAACTGCCTGGAATGCCCTATGCCCTCTATTGAAAAGCCTTCAAAAAAAAATCCAGATAGCAGATATCTCAAACCATTCCTCTAAGGTTATGAATGTCAGGGAGCTCAAGGGAAATATATAATGTTACCTAATTCTCATCAAGGATATAATGGGCAAAGATAGGCGAGACACAGATCAACAACATAGAAAGTAGAGGGCAGAACGTGTGGCTTTTTCCCATTTTCTCAGATTTATGTTTGCAAACACTTCATTTTCAAAATTCAGAGATAGGAAGAACTGCAGATGCTGGAGTTAGAGATAACAGTGTGGAGCTGGAGGAACACAGCAGGCCAGGCAGCATCAGAAGAACAGGAAAGTTGACATTTCAGGTCAGAAGGGTCCTGACCCAAAACGCCAACTTTCCTGCTCCTCCAATGCTGTCTGGCCTACTGCATTCCTCCAGCTCCACACTTCTCATTTTCAAAATTCAGCCTGTTGCAGATTTTGAAATTAGTATTCGCTTGCTCCTATTGTGATCTATAGACTTGTAATATATGCTACTTCATTTGCAGCTTTGTGGAACGCAGATTGCACAATGTTCTGTAACACTGGTGTGAAACATGAGATTTGACGAAAGAAGCACGTACATAGTGCAATTATTGTACCAGAATATAATCAAGGTTTCCTTGCCACCAGAAAACTCTTGCCATCATATTGCACAGGATAAGATCAGGGTCATAAACAAGGTCTGGTTCATCTGCTCCCTTTAAGATATTACTCCAATGTTCCATACGCCTACTTCAAAATGCCTGAAAGAATATCACCTCCAAAAGCTGAGAGGGTGTAATCTGTGATGATACTATAGCTTTCAGAAGTGTATTTTTTTTTGTGAAGAAAGTTTGAGACAGAGGTATCAAGTGGTCTACTCAAAGCGAATAAAGTAAGCAGCTTATGAGGCCTCGGGTTTATTTAAGTTAGAACAATAGAAGCAGCGTGAATGGGTAGACCAAGCTCCCAAAGAACCAGCATTTTTAGTTTTAGCTTTCTCATTTGGTGGAATATTGAAACTGGATATGGAAGCTCTTATTCTTCTGTTACAGCTAAAAGCTAGGGTCCTCTTCTGGGTGCTAGAATTGTCTGCGAGACAATCTCTAACTGAATTTGCCTTTGTCAGGAGTGTTTATGGGATATAATCATATTGGAACAGATAAATAGTAGTGGTTAATGTACATATTTTGTTAAGCCATTTTTTAAAATTTTTGTCTGTTTGTATTTTAAACTATAGTGCCAATATAAAAAAGTGTGCTTTGTTTAAAGTTGAGTTGCTTGCCCAATGGAATTGCATATGGAAGGCAACACTTTACTTACCTTTAAAATAAAAAAAAAAAACAATAATATTTTGAAGGGGTTTGGTCTGGTCTGGTCCATGACAAATTGGAGGCTTATCTGTGATCAAAATTTCTATCTCCAGGTTGGGTTTAGGATAATTAGATTGAAAAGGCAGTGAGTGGTGAGTGTTGGGTGAGAATTTTCTTAAAAATTTCTGGTAGTGCAGTTGGTTGGTTCAGTGTGTACCTTGTGTCAGAGTGGCTCTTTCAGCAACTAAGTTTCCTGAGAGTGGAAGTCATCATTTTGGGAGTTTTACAGCAAGTGAGCAAGGCAAGGCAAGGCAAAGCAAAACAAAGCTTTTGAAATTGGCAGACAAAGTTGGGTGTGGGGGGGGGGGGGGGGGGAGGAGGAGTTGAGACTGTTTAATCAAATGGTTGAGAAAACACAAACAAGAACATGTGGAAGACAGAATGGATGTTTTTAGTTCAGAGAAATTAACTGAATTACAAAGATTACAAGTTATATCAAAAAGCATACACAGAAGAATCTGGGTGTATCCCAGCTAAAAGGATTCTAGAAGAGTTACTCCAATATTTTACAAGATATGGACTATGCACAGAAATACAAGCAGATCAAGGGTCAAATATTACGCAAAAGTTATTCAGGCAAGTTATGGATAGCTTAGGAATAAAACAACTCAAATCCACTGCATACCATCCAGAAACACAGGGAGCATTAGAATGGTAGCATCAAAAACTTTAAGAATCACGTTGAAGGCTTATAGTCAAGACTAGTCAAAGGGTTAGGATGAGGGAATTCCATTTTCACTAGGTGCATCCCAATTGCAAAAACAACAACTAAATTCAGTCCATTTGAATTAGTTTTTGGGCAGGAGGTAAGAGGACCACTGAAATTAAGGATAAATTGGTGAGTCAGAGACCACACATTTGGACAGTGTCAAATTTTAGGGAAAGGTAAATGGAGGGGTGAGTTTGCTGGACAACATTTGAAATTAGGAAAGCAGACAAGTAGTCAAAAATGCACACTATGCTAGTGGAGATAAAGTGTTGTGTTATTCCCAGTGGTAGGTGAACCATTTAAAAGCAAGGTTTAGTAGGCCTTATCAAATTGAAAGGAAATGGAGGGAGGTGAATTATTTGACAAGAATGCCAGATCGGTGGATAACCTGACTATCATGTGAATATGCTGAAAAGGTATTTTTTATAGGGAAGGAAAGCAAAAAAAGGAGAATATATTGCTGGTTATAACAGAGTGAAAAACTAAGACCAGATATTCTGAATTGGGCATTCTTCAAATCAACTTGGACGATGAGGAAGCTCCCAAGTCGGGATAAATTGAGTTACCTTCCAGAGGAAAATCTAAGTGACCAGAAAGCATTATTACAATCACACGTATAAAGCTGGGAAGTACAAATCTAATTATGCATGTAGATGTAGGAGTTGTTGTTCCAATTAAGCAACATCCTTATAGACTTAACCCTCTGAAGTTGGCACAGGTTTAAAAAGGGAGATTGAACACGTACTCAAAAGACAATATAATCAAAGTGAGTTGCAGTGAAGTGAATGGAGCTCACCCATAAGTAAGTGGTGCCAAAAGCAGATGGTACTTGATGATAGTCCATACAATCGCAAAGTCAATACAGTCACAAAATCTACTTTTGCCAAGGGTGTTTATGGGATGTAACTATATTGGAACAGTTCATTTGTAGTAGTTATTCTTTTAAGCATTTAACGAGAGTTAGTTAAGCCGGTTTTATTTTGTCTAGATTTTAACTTACGTAAAAATGGTGTTTCGTTTAAAGTAGTTTCACCAATCAAATTGCAACTGGAATGCAACGTGTTACACTGATGTTTAACATACAATAAAGTTAGGGTCTAAGCTAAGCTATCTTAATATATTTTGAGGGGGTTTAAGTCTGATCCATAACAAAATCGCAAAATCTGACAGTTTTCAGTTTGCATTCCATGTTATCCACAGTACCAAGACCATCCTGCACATTTACACTTCAGGTCTACATGTGGTAGAATACTTTGGCCAGGATGTTGTATTGAGTAACAAGGCGTCTCTCAGCACTTACTACTATGGACAAAATCAGAAACTCCAGAGGGTATGCACATATGCAGATCCTTGTGTCCAACGCATTCTAGACCACTATATGTTTCACTACATCAGAAACATGAAACGAGTTAGCTTTAAAACACAATGTAAGGGTTAAAGTTGCATTACATACTGACTGGGTCCCCACTTCATGTCAACCCTGGTGTATTTAAATGTTAAATGAAGTTTGAAACAGTGAAAAAACAAAATTGTTACCAGTCTCTGGAAAAGTTTTTAATTTTACAAATGTGAAGATTATGCTTTGTTTTTCAAGATTTTACTTTTTGGCACTGTATGATTTTATAAAGAATTAAAATATCCAAAAAAGGTCTTTCATTGTTTGATTGAAGATATAAATTCCAAAAGGATTAACCAGCATCATTTCCTCACTGACTGCAAAATCTTTCACTCTCCCGTTGCATTTAACATGACTGCATAATACCATTTTCATCCTGAGTGGGATAGCCTGTAATGGATCTACTCCAATTTGTACCAATACAGCTTACACTGCTCCATTGCTACCTCCCTTCCAGAATCAACTGCCCCTTCCTTTCCCCCTAGAAGATCTACCCCCAATGTAATACATTGTCGCTAAGGAACAAGTCTAGACTGACAGCAAATGACAGTACATTGTCATGGCATCCCATCTAAATAATTAAGAAAGACAAAATTCCTTTGTAGGAAGGTAGTGATAATGACAGGACCAGTAATAGAGGCTCAAGCTAAAGATCTGTGAACAAGTGCTAAATTCTATCACAACAGATAGAAAAATTGAATTCAGTTTATAAATCTAGAGTTACAATCTAATGACAACCATGAAACCACTGATTATTATAAGTCACACATCTAGTTGGGGAAAGAAATCTGCTGTCCTTATGTAACTTCAGACCCACAATGTCGATGACTCAAACAGCTAGAAAGTCAGTTTTATCAAATCAAGGGTCAAATTTTGAAGACAAATTATTATTTTTTCCCCCAGAGCCTTGGAACTCTTTAAAATGTGGTGGATGTAGAGGCTTTGAATATTTTTAAAAAAGAGCTAGATAGATGCTTAATAACACAGTGGGTGAAAGGTGATCAGAGCTAGGCAGAAATGTGGAGTAATCAGAATAGGCATGATCTTATTAAATAGCAGAGCAGGTTCAAGGGCCTAACACTGCTCATTAGTTATGTTAACTCAAATTGCTACAAAGCCCAAGGAATAGAACTGTATGGACCACTCACTGTTGTCCTCCTCCCTTGTCACTGGGAGGAAAAATCCTGGAACTCCATTCCTAACATTGTGTACCCATACAGCAAGGAAGGCAGCAGTTCAGAAATTGGCTCACCACCGAAGGACAGTCGGGGTTGGGCAATAAATGCAGGTCAACCAGTGACACTCCCATCCTATGAATGGATTTTTACAAAAATTGCTTCAGATTCTTGCCAGGTGAGGTCCAGTTTTATCTCATCATTTCACCCTTGCTGCAAATGTATGCCAAATCTCGTTACACACCGAAGTCAGCCACGCCTTCAGCACTTCTACACTCTCCCTGCCAGTCACCCACTATAATCATCCAAAATTCCAATCTTTAACTGCCTTGGCCTAGTTTTTAAAAGCAAGATACAAGTAATGGCAATGCTACACAATAACACTATAACAGACTGACAAACAGCTCAATCTTTTACAGAAATGTGCTCCTGAAAATTACGTAAAAGGAACAACCCTCTTCACATTTTTTAAACCCTTAACCCCATCCTATCTTCCACAATGGAATCTGATTGTTTACACATTAAGCCCCCATTGAAAGCTATTTCACATTAAGTTCCCATTGTAGTTTGTTTTTATTAAAGAACAGCAGTTTATGCTGTAAGAAAACCTGCAAGTCAGCATCCCTTTTGAATTTGTTGCATTAACAAGGCACTTGTCCTAATCTACAATTCAAATGAACAAGGCAGAAATAACAGCCAATTCAGACAATTGCCTGTATATGGTTTTATAAACCACCTATAAATCAAGTGGATGCTTTTAAATTATTTGTCAATGTATCAATTTGGCTAATATTTTATTCTCAAAATAAAAAGAAACATGGAAACAAATACTTAAGAGGTATTGGTAGCACAAGGGATTGTGTTACAGGATTAATGACCTGTTCAAATCCCAACAGAAGGAAATGTGCTATCTTTAGCTAGTCTGGCTGACATGCAATTCTAGACCACAGTGTGGTTGAATCAGAACTTTCCTCTGAAATGGTCTCAGCAAACCAGTTTATTCCAAAAGATTGTCACCTTCTGAAATGAAGGATAGGCAACATGTTAATATTACCAATAACAAGCATACTTGGTTAATTGCCCATCAACCTATTTTGCTATTCAATCATAACTGGATGTTGGGTGTTCAAGTTTGAACTAAACATAAATGCACATTTTATTTTTTCCTTCCATTTTGATAGTGGCATAAGTTTAGTCCTCTTTTGGAAGTATCTCAACTTAATTCCTCCAGTAAACCCACCACACAATCAAGGTAGGACACATTGTATTGTGGTTATGGTTAACTCTAAGGCTTGGCCTAATGATTGAGTACATGCACAAATACTACCATAACACACTTTTTTAAAAAAAAAGTTTCAGGAATACCAATATTTTTCAAGCGTTTAAAATTGTAAAAAAGGAGGATATTTTCCACTTCAGGGGTCTTCAAAAGAAATTTGGCACATGTTGATAAACCAGATTATCATGTTCAACCAGATTATTTCAGATGCATTTAAAAGAAGAGAGCTGAAGTTAAAGATCAAATCAGGATGGGTGTGGAGGAGAATGAGACAGAATGTGGAAACAAAACATTTTCTGTCATTGATATTTCAAAGTCAGTGGCTCCAAAGTTTGTAGTTGGCACTTGCTACTCAGAAAACGATAACAGGTTGAACTTGAATATAAGTTTTATTGGTCCAAATATTTAAAAAAAATCAAAGATAAATGCAATATCAAAAACTGCACACAATATTGTGAACATCTTTACAGTACATATTTACACAATCTCAGCTAACCATGTGGATCGAGGGTCAAAACTGCAAATACTGGCAAATATTCTTTAAAACACTTTACTTGGGTTCAAAGCTCATCATTGCAGGAGAAAAGCCTTCACTACAACTGGGCAGTGGTCATACACCAAGATGGAATGATCTAGTACAGATGCAAAACAAAATCCAACCATTTTAAAAATCTGCAACCCTTTCCAACAAAAGGTAGCAAGTCCATACAAAGGCAGCA